TGTTTATGGGAGGAATGATGATATGAGGGTGCTTCCAAAAGTTTGTGGAAAAGAGAATTAAAAGATAACATTATTTTGGTGCAAAATTATTTCAAAATCCACACCAAGCTTTTGTCTTAATACATTTTCTAAGAATTTTCAGACTATCATATCTACACAGAATGAATTGCAATAACCCAGATTTGTTGACTTACAATGGGAAGATGTAAGAGGGTAGAAAAAGGTAACTGAGCCAGTGGGGACAGTAACTAGAAACTTTGACAAGTAAGTGGCAGAAGATGTCATGGAGATATTTTTAGTATCAAAAGCTATAGCTGAGATATCACCAGGTATCTCTGTTAGCAGATGGAACCATGTTAGTAAGGAACATTGAAGCAGGTGATGTTTCTTAACTAGACAGGTAGTTGATATCAGAGGTTTGTGGGTGAATTAAAATAGAAATATTGACAAAGGTACAAAGTAAAAACACATAATTAATCTATGAGAAACCCATTGGGGCAATAGAAAAAGGCTGGGAAATCATGCCAATTGTCAACATTGGTGCCCAAACATGGGGAGTTGAAAGGCAAATAACTGGTTAGAGGAACTGCACAGCAAAATGGTGACTTGGTAGCAAGAACAAGTTAGAATTCCTGTTTTTGATAAGTGGAAAAAACCCTGTTCTTTGTCTGGGAGAACAAGTTACTTAATCCACCTATAATAATACATACACTCAAGGAGATACCTATATAGCTAGCTCCATAGATGATGAAAAATCTTTAGTAACATTCAGTATCCATTCCTACCATAATCTCAATAAAATAGGATTGGATGCTACTTCCTTAACATGAAAGAACATATATTCCTCTTTCCTAAACCCAGCATATTGCTTAAAAGGTGAGGTTGGGGGAACGTCACGGGGAAAAAGACTAGAGAGGAATAAGGGTGCCCAATAACTAAATGACTATTATCAATGCTACTAAGTGTTTTGGTGCAATTAAACAAGAGAAAGCAACTGCAGACATTAAATATTTGGGGAAAACTATTACAGATAACATGACAGCATAGCTAGAAAATGGATAATAAAATTGAAACAATAGAAGAATTCAGTCGCATAGCAGAATATAAAATAAGATACACAAGAAGGATAATAAAACCTTGCTTACACAAGTAATAACCACATAGACGGCCTAATGAAAGAGATAAAATCCAATAACAACATTTCCATAAAATTGAATTCTCAGTAATGAATAAGAAATATGTGAGCTGATATCAAAAAAACACTAAAACATTCTCAAGGACCAAAAGTAAAGAACAAAAAGGAGCAAAAGTAAAGAAACAAAAGACAAGAACAAATGGAAGGAACTCCCTTTTTCCTAAATATTACAACTCAGTGCCACCAATTGTATCAACTCTTCAAAAGTAATTTATAAATTAAATCTTGTTCTCATAAAATATCAATGAACTTTTTGCTTAAACTACACAAGGTGATAATAAAATTTATGTGAAAAAATAAATATCAAGGAAAGTTAAGAAAATACAAAAGAGAAAGCGATAAGGGGGACAAGTCATACCAGGTATTAGAACATACTACAAAGATTCTTTAATAGCACTGTCTCCTGAAGAGAATTTTGTAATAAGGAAATTTTCTTCTACCAACACTGTCCGGTGTAGTCACTAGCCACATGTGGCTAAATGAACATTTATAATGTAACTAGTGTAACAAAAGAATTACATTTTTAATTTCATTTAATTGCAGTAAATTTACATTTAAATAGTCACATGTAGCTAATGATTCTGCATAAATAAGCATAGTTTTATAATTAAATAAGTATGGTACTGATGCATGAATATACAAATTAAGTATGGTATCGGTGCATGAATATACAAATTAAGTTGAATACTGTGTCTGGAAATAATCTCTCTCTCTTGCATATACTACATTTAGAGAGAGAGCATTGGCTACAAATGGCAGAGAAAACTTTTTAGTGAGTGGATAAATTTAATTGGAACAATTGGACAGTCATTTAGTAAAGAATAAAATTAAATTTACTCTTCACATTATAATAAAAAATATACTCCTAATATATCAACAATCTAAATATAATGTTCTAGTATGGTAAGTTAGGTCACCACGTGGGACTTCCATATCCCATGGAGGTGTGCCTAGTTCAAGTCCCAGCTCTCTTCTGATCCACCTTCCTGCTAACGCATCTTGGTAGACAGTGATGGCTCAAGTGCCCAAGTCCCTGTTATCCCTGTGGAAAACCCTCATGGAGTTTTGGGTTCTTGGATTTGGCCTGACCCAGACCTAGCTGTTGTGGACATTTGGGATGTGAAGCAGCAGATGGAATCTCTCTCTCTTTCTCTCTCTCTCTCTTTCTCTCCCCCACCCCATTACAGCAGATAGAAATAAATAATAGATTTTTTACAAAAGGAAATCATACAAATATTAGAAGAAAACATGGGTAAATTTATCATTGTTTACTTTGGTATAGAAAAAAGCTTTCTAAGTATGACTCAAAAATCCAGATACAATAGAAGAAAATATTGATCAGTTTGACTATATTAAAGTAAAACTTCTGAGGGGTAAAACAAATACACAAAAAAGGTACCATAAGCAAATTCAAAAATAAACAATCAATAGAAAAAAAGAATAAATGCAACAGATATGAAAGAAAAACACTATAATATACATAAAATGCAAAATATTTTGAAAATTGAAGGAAAATATTTTTAAAGATTTATTTATTTGAAAGAGTTACAGTGAGAGAGAGAAAAATGAGAGCATTGTTATCATTGGTTCACTCACCAGTTGGCTACAAGGGCTGGGATTGAGCCTGGCTGAAGCCAGGATCCAGGAGCCCTATCCAATCTTGCACTTGGGTGACAGGGCCCAAACACTTGCGCCATCGTCCAATAATTTTCCCAGGGCATTAGTAGGGAGCTGGATCAGAAGTGGAATAGCCAAGGCATTAACCAGCACCCACATGGGATGTTGGCATCACAGGAAGCAGCTTGATACACTACACCACAATGCTGGCACTGAAAGAAGAAGATTTCTGAAATCCTGTGGAAAAACCTAAATATTGTACCAAAAAGCCATTAGAACTGAGAAGCCAATACAGTAAAGTCACAGGTTACAAAATCAGCATACAAAAAACAGTAGCATTTTATACACCATTAATGAACTTGCTAAAAGAGAAATAAACATAGAAATCCAATTCACAATAGCCACAAAAAATAAAATATTTAGGAATAAATTTAACCAAAGAAGTGAGTCATCAAGAACACATACCAAAAAAGGAAAGAAATTCCTTGTTAATGGACTGGAAGAATAAAATCATTAAAATGTCTATACTACCTAAAGGAATCTACAGATTCAATGGAATCCCTATTAAAATTGCAAAAGGAATTATTTATAGAATTAGAAAAGGCAATGTTAAAATTCACATGGGATCAAAAGACACAGAATAGCCAAAGTCATCTGGAGCCAAACAAAAACCAAACAACACACACACACACACACACACACAAAAGTAGGAAAGAAAAGAAAGGAAAAAACAAGCTGGAGGCATCACAAAACCTGATTTCAAAGCATACTACAAGGGCCGGAGCCGCGGCTCACTAGGCTAATCCTCCGCCTAGCGGCGCCGGCACACAAGGTTCTAGTCCCAGTTGGGGCGCCGGATTCTGTCCCGGTTGCCCCTCTTCCAGACCAGCTCTCTGCTGTGGCCAGGGAGTGCAGTGGAGGATGGCCCAGGTGCTTGGGCCCTGCACCCCATGGGAGACCAGGAAAAGCACCTGGCTCCTGGCTCCTGCCATTGGATCAGCGCAGTGCGCCGGCCGCAGCGTGCCGGCCGCGGCGGCCATTGGAGGGTGAACCAACGGCAAAGGAAGACCTTTCTCTCTGTCTCTCTCTCTCACTGTCCACTCTGCCTGTCAAAAAAAAAAATAAATAAAATAAAAAAATAAAAAAAAATAAAACAAAGCATTCTACAAAACTATATTAATTATAATAGCATAGCATGTACTGACATAAAAACCAGTACATACATCAATGGAACCGAATAGAGAGCGTGAAATTAGTCCTCATACATACAGACTACTGATTTTTTGACAAAAGTACACAAAACATACATTGGAAAAAGGATAGACTTTTCAATAAATGGTGCTGGCAAAACTGGATGTATATATGTAAAAGAATGAAATTAGATCCATACCTCTTACCATATATAAAAATCAACTCAAGGTGGATCCAAGACTTAAATTTAGTACCTGAAAGTATGAAATTGCTATAATACAATATAGGGACAACATTGCAAGACACTGATGTAGGAGGTGACTACTTGAACAATGATCTAAAGTGCAAACAACAAAAGGAAAACTAAGCAAATGGGATTAGAGCAAACTGAGAAGCATGTGCACAGCAAAGGAAACAATTGAGTGCAGAGAAATCCGATAGAATGGGAGAAAATAGTCGCCAGCTACTTACCTGACCTAGGATTAACAGCCAGAACTTATCAGCGTGTAAAAAACTCCATGACAAAACAACTAATCCATTGATGAAATGGGCACAGGATCAGAACAGACAGTTGTCAAAAGATGAAATACAAATGGCTAATAAATGTATGAAAAAATGCTCCATATCAATGGCCATACAAAAAATGCAAATCAAAACCTCCGTGAGCTATCACCTCATCCTTGTCAGAATGGCTATTATCCGAACAGAAAGCAACAAATGCTAACAAGGCTGTGGATAAAGGAGAATGCTAATATACTGTTGTTGGAGATGTAAATTAGTTCAACCACTGTGAAAAACAATACGGGGCTTCCTTTAAAAAACTAGAAACAGACTTGTCATATGACCCAGCAATCTCACTACTAGATATATACTCAAGACATGACTCATTGTATCAGAAAAATACCTGCTTCACTGGCTTTATAGTAACACTGTTAATAATAGCCAAAATATGGAATCAACTAAGATGACCATCATAAGTAAAACGGATAAAGAAATTGTGATATATATATTCACATAATGGAATATTATTCAGCTATAAAAAAGGATGAAAGTCTATCATTTGCAGAGAAATGGTTGGAACAGAAAACATTTTGCTGAGTAAAATAAGCCAGACACAGAAAAACAACTACATATCCTCCTTTGTATGTGGGAAATTATTTTTTTCAAATGATTGTATAAGTTTTGCCACAATACAGTGTTTTGTCAAACTTTCATTTAAATGTTCGTTGAACTGACAGAATATCTATACTACTTTAATAATTTTTTTATTTGACAGATAGAGTTAGACAGTGAGAAAGAGAGTGTCGCTCCCCGTCTTCGTGGAGGAACGACACAGGACCCTGCGCTGTTCTTTCGTCTGCTCGGCCCTCCCCGGGTTTGCTGCTGGTTCTTCCCGGGTTGGCTACCATCCCTTCCACCTCCGTGGAAGGGCGGTTCCCCCTGCCACCTTCCCCATTTCCACGGGGGAGCGGCACACCGCCGCCGGCTCTCTCGGGGGCTGCACAGGTGTTCCTTCAGATAGATGTTCCCCTTAGATGTTCCTGGTGCATGTTGTCTCTCTCCTCCTTTATAGTCCTCTTCCGCCAATCCCAACTCTGCTACCCACACGCCGAGTACGCTGCTCTCCTCCAATCAGGAGCAGGATCAGCTCCTGGAGGTCATCACTCAAGTTGGCGAGAGACAGCTGCGTAGAAGCTGTTTACTCCTCTCCCAGCGCCATATTGTGGGAGAGCAGATGCATAGAATAAGTCTTAATTCCAGTAACTTAGTCTAGTCCGGGTTGCTCCCCACAGAGAGACAGAGAGAAAGGTCTTTCTTCTGTTGCTTCACCCCTCAAATGGCCACTACGGCCAGAGCTGCTCCGATCTGAAGCCGGGAGCCAGGTGCTTCCTCCTGGTCTCTCATGCGTGTGCAGGGCCCAAGCACTTGGGCCATCCTCCACTGCCTTCCTGGGCCATAGCAGAGAGCTGGAATGAAAGAGTACCAATCAGGACTAGAACCCAGTGCCCATATGGGATGCCGGCCCCGCAGGCAGAGGATTAACCAAGTGAGCCACAGCGCCGGCCCACTACTTTAGTATTAGTGATTTTGTGACTTTTAAAATTCATTTTATATGAGTGAGGTTGAACATATTTTCATTTGATTATTGTTTATACCCTTGTCTATTTTCCTTGACTATGGTCTTTTTATTTGTGGGATATTTATTTTATTTAGTACAGCCATTAAGCCTTTGAATATAATGTATATTTTAAAATGTTACCTCAAAAAATAAAATAATTAAATTTTTTAAAATCCTATGGAAAATGGGCAAAAATAGAAAGGTGTAACTAACTAACAAGTAGCCCTTAGAAGTTGGAAAAGTTGCTCCATTTTACGCACAGAAGGAGAAAGGTACATTAAAATTCACTGAAACAACTTTTTCCATCCACCATATGGGCAAAACCTCAAAAGGTCACAATGCACTGCTACAAGACTTCTCATACACTGCTGAAGGCAAGCAAAATGGTGCAATTCCTATGGGGGAGGTGATGAGGAATATTTGATGAAACAGTAAATGTATTTCTCTTTTAACACAGCAATCATATTTCCTGGATCTTATCCTGGATAATATGAAAATATATGCAAGAGGTTATTCATTGTCTCACCATTAGCAACTGCAAAACATTGGAAACTACCTAAATGTCTGAGCCATAAGCAATTGGTTGTTTATACTACGGTATATGTACACATTCAACAGTGTGGTATTATGCAGCTATGAAGTGAAAATGAAGAAGAATGCAGTGAGCTAACAGGGAGTTTATTCTAGAATATATCAAGTGAAAAGAGAAAAATGTAAATGTATGTAGTGTTTGACTTGTGCATCGCCTGAATTCAATCATTTTAGAATGGCTTTGTTAAAAATGTCTTAAAGTTTTGCTCTTAGAAAATACAATGACTGTTAAAGGACAATGATATCTGAAACCTACTCACAAGTGGTTCAGAAAAAAGTAGAGAGGAAAAAGAAAGAAAGCAAATATAGCAAAATGTTGAAATTGGTGTATCTGTGTAAAGTGCTTAAGGAACAACAAGGAGGAATCAGCGATGTCTATTGGGCTCCCCACAGCACCCGCTGAGCATTTCCATTGTTAGCCATCATGGATTGTGAGTTGCATAAGTCTGATGTTCCTTTTTTATCTCCGTTATTTTCAGCAAGATCTGCCCACAGGAAGATCTCAGTTATAATGTGAATTAATGAATAAAAAGAAATTAGAAAACAGAAACCACATTGAATTCTCCATGGAGTTATCTTGGGGTGGGTGTGGGGCAAAATTTAAAACGTACCTTTAAAACTGGGGGTCAAGGGGAATGGATGAATATGGGCAAAACAAACAACTTAACCAAGGCACAGAAATAGGTGTGAGTGTGGTCAGGCTATTGATAATCAGGGCCATTATGACAGGAACAGAGACTTTGGCATGGAATTAATGGGAAACAAATTGGTAACAACTGATGAAGAGAATCAGACTATAAGACCCCTCAAGTGCAGACAGAGGCTTGAGGAGGCACCAGAAACTTCTTTTGAGCCCTTACATAATAAGCAACATGATATCCACAATGCGCAGATCCTCTTCTTGTATTACGTACAATGGGAAAAAAGACAGGAATCTAGGCAAATGGTTTTGCCGTTACATAGCCACAGAAATTGTTATAGTGTTTTTTCTTAATCTGCTGTTCCAAGCATATTGTTTTATTCTAAAGAGTTTTGCTTTGATGAAACATTATGAGAAAAAGATAATATTAAATAAGTTATAACTTTAAAGTGAAGACAATAGTAATTTCAGCTCCCATTATTAACTATCCTAGGCATGGTTTATCCTCTTCCAGGTGTCAAAGCTTAACCTGAAAGATGTTGAATGCTTCAAGATGTGTAAGCGTATGATTCCTCAAATGGGAAGAAGTGATTCTCATGAAAACAGCCAAATGCTTACATGAGGGATGCACCCAGTAGCCACAGTTACATGAGGGCTACCAGGTCTAAATTATTTATCCACTAATTTTATTTTTGTTGAAAATATCAATTTTATACCTAATAAATATATCTTTATAAGGGAGCTATGATACAAGTATATAAGTGTAAAATACAGACAATGATCAGATTGAATGTAGCACTCTATGACCTGGAATAGAATGGAGAAACATTTAGAACTAAGAAAGAAAAGAGTTCCCCTTCCTGGGGAGTTCCCTGGCTGGTCCAGGTAGGAGAAGGCCGAAATTCAGAAAAGAAAATCAATACCCATTCATTCTGTTACTTGATGCATATTTATTAGCACAAGTAGGCATTAATCTTAAATCTATATCAAAAATTAAGCATCTCTGTAAATTCCTATATGATGAGTTGCCTTTATGACAATGGATTTGTAAATTAATTATATGATTACTAATTCTTCAACAAAAGTTTATGAAACACCAAACACTGCTCTGTGCACTGGAGAAATAAGAGGATCAAAAGGCAAAGACAAAATCCCTGTCCTCAGGAACTTAAAAATTTTAGTGGGGAGACACAGATACTAAGCATAAGAGGGCATGAAACATAACCCATTAAAGGTGAAATATACTGTACAGAAAACTGAAGCAGGGGAGCAGGGGAAGATAGCAAGGTTTGAGGAAATTGCTGTTTTAATGAAGGTCACCCTGAGAAGATGTTTAAGAAAATACCTGAAGCATGTGATGGAGGGAGCCATCGGAACAGCTGGGAAAGGTTGTTGGAGCAGAGACACAGCAAAGGCCAAGGACCAACTTGGTGTCAGTGAAGGAAATTAACTCAGTCTTTGACCATGTAGGTTAAGGTTTTGGGATTTTCTTCTTAAGAAACTTAGGAACCATGAAGTATTTTCCATGGAAGAATTACAACCTAAATTATATTTTGTGTGAAAATTCTCTCTGGGGGCAGCATAGATGGTAGAACATAGGGAGACAAAAGCAGAAGACAGAAATAATACATAAAGGAGATGTAGTCCAGGTAAAGGGACTTGCAGAAAGGTGAAACTATTTTGAAAGTAGACAGAGTTTTTTTAAAAAGCTTGCTTTTTTCAAGCCGGCGCCGTGGCTCAATAGGCTAATCCTCCACCTTGCGGCGCCGGCACACCGGGTTCTAGTCCCGGTTGGGGCGCCGGATTCTGTCCCGGTTGCCCCTCTTCCAGGCCAGCTCTCTGCTATGGCCAGGGAGTGCAGTGGAGGATGGCCCAGGTGCTTGGGCCCTGCACCCCATGGGAGACCAGGAAAAAGCACCTGGCTCCTGGCTCCTGCCAGGATCAGCGCGGTGCGCCGGCTGCAGCGGCGGCCATTGGAGGGTGAACCAGCGGCAAAGGAAGACCTTTCTCTCTGTCTCTCTCTCTCACTGTCCACTCTGCCTGTCGAGAAAAAAAATAGAAAAAGGAGCTTGCTTTTTTCTTAAATGAAATATACACATGAAGGAAGAATGGATTTCACACAGTAGCTGAAAGGAAAGTATGTTCTAATGATGTGCTTCAGAAAAAAAAGATGGGTTTGTAGAGGGCAAAGCTAGGAGGAACTGGAGACATAAGGCATAGAAGTTGCCTAAAAGACATAAAATTAGGCAGTTTAGAGGGAAAAGAAGGATACAGAGAGATAGGGGACTTTCAAAGTTAAAATCAGTAAGTTTGTGAGAGGACTCTCAGGAGATGGCAAAATAGAAAGCACAAGGAATCATTCGCATTGCCTAGAAACAAGTACATTGGCAGCATCTACTCCCCTCCCTTCATTTTCCTTTTTTCTCGCTTTTAAGAGCCAGACATTAAAGGCTAAGGCATTTTAAAATGACTGTATAAAGGGGATAAGTTAGAAAGTGACTACATATGCCTGGAGAAAGATTTCAAAAAGACCTAAAGTGATCTTAAGTTTACACCGCAGAATGCCTCTCAGCACAGAGACAGCCAACAACAATTTTTAAAAAAGTAGAAACAATTATGAGAAACAACAGACCCTGGGGAAGAGGGACAATATGACTTCTACTCACCACATTATTAAATTCAAGCGTCCAGTTTTCAACAACAATAGCATACAGGCCAATTATGTATTGTATGCCAGTCACACAAATAGATTCAAATTGAATGATAAGAAGATATCTCATGCAAATAATCACCATGGGAGGGCAGGTATAGTTATAACAATATTATACATTAAATTTTAAAAGTTTACAAAGGACAAAGAAGATCACTGTATAATAACAATGGATTTAGTACACAAGAAATATTTTTCTGGCATATAGAACACTCTACCCAACAGTAGCATATACAATCTTCTGAAGTGCACATGGGGCATTTTCTAGGACAGATCACATGTTAGGACACAAATTAAGCCTTAATATGCTTAAAAGATAGATTTTCTACAAAATATCTTCTCTGACCACAAAGTAACAAAGTTAGAGATAGGCATCAAAGTAAAAACGGAAAATTCAACAGATTTACAGAAATTACATTCCGAATTCTACATTCTGGAGATTTATAGCATAAATTTAAATAATCAATGGATAAAATAAGACTCTTAAAGGGAAGTCAGGGAACTTACTTAGAGATGAGATGAGTAAAAACTTAAACACGACATGCCAAAATCTATGGAACACCAGAAAAAGTGTATTAAGAGAGAAATTTACAGCTACAAATACTAACATTAAAAAAAATAAACTAGAAAGCCAGCATTGTGGTGCAGTAGGTTAAGCCAAACAGAATTACCATATGATCCATCAATTCCACTTCTTGGGATGCACCCAAATAGCTGAAAGCAGGGTCTTGAAGAGGTATTTGTCCTCTCTTGTGTATTGCAACATGATCCACAAGAGCTAAAGAAAGCATAGAAGCAACCCAAAGTACATGTTCCTAGATGAAAGAGAAGCAAGATATGGTATAAATAAAATGAAATACTATTCAATCTTAAAAAGAAAGGAAATTCTGAATACGCTACATGAGTGAACGTTGAGGACATCATGCTAAGTGAAATAAGCAAGTTACAAAAAGACAAACAATGTATGATTCCACTTATGAAATATTATTTTAGTAAAAAATCATACAGACAGAAAATAGAATGGTAGTTGCCAAGAAAGAAAAGTTACTGTTTAATTGGTATAGAGTTTTAGTTTTAAAACAGAGTTATCAAGATGGATGGTGAAAATGATTGCACAATATTTTGAATGTTTTAATACTATCAAACTATACACTTAAAGATGGCTAAGAGGGCAAATGTCATGTTGTGTGTATTTTATCACTGTAAAAAATTAGAGGGGCAGGTATTCAGCCTGGCAATGAAACACTGACCATGATACCCACATCCCAAATCAGAATACCTTGGTTAAATATACAGCTCCAGCTCCTGACATCAGCTCCATGAGAACCCAGAGAGACCATGGTGATGGTCAACCAGTTGGATTCCTGCCACTGATGTGGGAGACCTGGATTTAGTTCTCAGATCCCAGATTTGGCGCAGACCAGTCCTGACTGTTGTGGGCATTCAGGCAAGAAACCAGTAGAAGAAGAGTCTCTGTCTCTCTTTCTCTTTCTCTCTTTCTCTCTCTCTCCCTCTTCCTCTCCCTCTCAGTTTCTCAGAAACTCAAACAAATAAATTAAAAATAAATTTTAATTATAAAAAATTAAACACTTTGGGGTCAGCACCATGGCGTAACAGGTAAAGCCGCTGCCTTCAGTGCCAGCATCCTATATGGGCACTGGTTCAAGTTCTGGCTGCTCCACTTCTGATTCAGCTCTCTGCTATGGCCTGAGAAAGCACTAGAAGATGGCCCACGTCTTTGAGCTCCTGCACCCACATGGGAGATCCTGAAGAAGCTCCTGGCTCCTGGCTTCAGGAGCCATTCCAGCCATTGCGGCCAACTGGGGAGTGAACCAGCGGATGGAAGACCTCTCTCTCTCTCTCTCTGCCTCTCCTTTCTCTGTATAACTGACTTTCAAGTAAATAAATAAATCTTTTTTAAAAAATTAAACACGTGTTTTTATCTAAGGACTATATGAGAGCAATAGGTACTCATACTGACTTTGAGTGTCACCATGGCCTCTTGGCCCCTGGACCCTTCATATTTATTTTTTCTTAAGATTGTTTATTTGAAAGTCAGTGGCCGGCGCTGTGGCTCACTAGGCTAATCCTCCACCTAGCAGCGCCGGCACACCAGGTTCTAGTCCCGGTCAGGGCACCGGATTCTGTCCCGGTTGCCCCTCTTGCAGTCCAGCTCTCTGCTGTGGCCCGGGAGTGCAGTGGAGGATGGCCCAAGTGCTTGGGTCCTGCACCCCATGGGAGACCAGGAAAAGCACCTAAGAAAGAAAGAAAGAGTTAACAGAGAAAAAGAGAGAGAGAGAGAGATATCTTCCTTCACCTGGTTCAGTCCCCAGATGGTCACAAAGGCTGGGGCTGTGCCAGGCCAAAACCAGGAGCCTGGAGCTTCATGTAGGTCTCCCACAAGGGTGGAAGGAGCCCAGACACTTGGCCATTCTGCTATTTTTACCAAGCCATTACCAGACATCTAAATTGGAAGTGGAGCAGCTGGAACACAAACCAGCACACACAAAGGACACTGGTGTTGCAGAGGACAGTTTCACCTACTATGCCAGAAAACCAGCTCTTACTGCTCCATACTCTAAGAAAGCATAACTAGGTCCATGAGACAGGTTATTAAGCTAGAAAATGTATGAAAATAGAGAAAGAATTGAGGAGAGAAAAACAAAGACATTTTGAGTAACAGAGTATTTGTAGATAGGTGAGAGAGTATGAAAGGAAAATGTTCAGGAAGAAAACAAAGACACACAGAAAACATTTTAACAGTATCAGAAGCAGTTGCCTTATCTGTAAACTAGTGATCAAGGGCAAGAATACAGCTGACCAAGGAGAAAAGAGTTCTGATCACACTGATTTTATTAACTCTGTAGATCTAGAGCATAGACCATCTGGGTATATGTCAGTTGTGATTACTGATATTTTTGTAATATTTGAGTAAAGATAAAAAGCTTTGTATTATCACTAAATTGTCTCAGGTTGTTTGTATCCCTTTGATTACACTGTTAATTTCAGCTAGAGATGTAGAAAATGATTGAATATAAAAATGAGAACTGGATGAAACTCAAACCAGAGCTTCATTGAGATTTGATTAATCTGATCAATCTAGACAGCTAAACTAGATAATTCAAGCCTTCAAGTGGATTTTTTGGATCAAGTAATCATACCAAAATGAGTAATCCAGTTTCGCTGTCTGAATTGATCAAGCAAACTAGATAATTGCAAAATCTCTCCCTTGTTTGCACTGGGTAGATATAGTTCACTTGTATAAAGGCAGCTTTTAAAAATTCTAATGGGATTAAATTGGCCATGTAGTTTTCCATGTCTTAATTCTCAGCATCTTCACTTAATGTCTTGTTTGACCAGAAATGTGGTTTGGAGTCCCTAGGTTCAGGACAAATGGTGCTTGACTATTTACTATTATTTTGTGAGCCCTCCCAGAATTTTTTTTTTTTAAATCACAGTTCATGTCCCTGTCATGATCCTAACATCAGGTTGCTAGGTCATTACTTTTTTTCTTCTTCTTCCTGACGCACATCTGGAAACTCACCAGTTATTTTCCTATCCAACCACTGAGTAGGCCTATTTAGAAAGTCAGAGCCAGGCTGCAATTCTGAGTAACTGCCTTTCTCCCTGTTCTTGACATTTCTCCCCTCTCCTTCCCCCAGTATAAACTTTGCAGTGTCCCACCCAATGCCGCCTTGGGAATAACACAAACGTAAGCCAATAAGGCAATGCAGACAGCTTCAGGAACAATGGTGCCTCTACACATCTGACTATGTTCCATTCTCCCCTCTACTGAGTCTTCTCTGTGTGTATACTACACTTCCCCAACTCATATGGCTCTTATACCCCAAGTAACAGTTGCTTCCTTCTTGCCATTACAAAAATTGTTGCCTTATAGTAGTAATAATAATAGCTAATGCATCAGAGCTTAATAAATGCCAGTCACTGTTTAAGCCTATCTATCTACCTATATTTATATATATACACATATTTATCAAAAGGCTTGTGAAAATGGAATTAAAAGATCAACATAAACTTTGTTTCTTAACATCATTTCCATTAAACCTAATGCACTTTTATATGCAATAATTCTATCAATGTTATCTATCCCTAACCAGGAATCTGGGGAATTTAATCATGTCCATACAGTCTTTTTTACATAATTAACTAAGGGGAAATGTGTGTCCTTTAAAGAATTTTCTTTAATTTAGGAAACAAAAATAAGTCAGATGGAGCCAAATTAGCATTGCAAGAAGGTTGCCTAATGATTTCCATTTAAACTCCAGGAAAAAATGCCCTTGTTTGATGAAAAAAATGAACAGAAGCATTGTTGTGGTGGAAGACTCTGACAAAGCTTTCTGATCATTTTCTGCTAAAGCTGCAACTGGTTTTCTCAGGAAACTCTCATAATAAGCACATATATTATCATTCTTTGGATGTTGAGAAAGCAAGCGCCTTGAGAAACCCAAAAACTGTTGTCATGGCATTTGCTCTTGACCAGTCTGTTTTTGCTTTGACTGGATCACTTTCACTTCTTGGTAGCCACTGGTTGGATTGTGCTTGTGGTTGGATTGTGCTTGGTCTTCAGAACTGCACTAGAAAAGCTATGCTTCATTTCCCATTACAATTTTTAGAAGAAATGCTTCAGTATATTGATCCAACTTGATTAAAATTTCCATTGAAAGCTCTGTTCTTGTTTGTAGCTGATTTTAGAGCAACACTTCTGATACCTATCAAGCAGAAAGTTTGCCCCACTATAGTTTTTCATCAGAATTGTGTACGCTGAGACAGTTAAGATGTTTATGGTATTGGCTATTGTTTCTCCTGTCAATCACAGGTCCTCCTCAAATAGGGCAAAAACAAAGTTATTTTTTTCCTCACAAATTCATGCAGTTGGTCTGCTTCTGTAAACTTCATCTTCAACACCATCCCATTCCATCTTAAAATGAGTTATTCATTTATAAACTGATGATTTTTTCAGGCATTGTCTCCATAAATGTCTCATAAAGCATCAATTGTTTCATCATTCTTCCAGAAAGCTTTGCCATAAATTTGGTGTTTCTCCTGTTTTAATTTTAACAGATCTCATATTGCTCTACTAAGAGAGCTCTTTTCAAACACATGCCTTATACTTCTTAACACCTCAAACTAGATCCTATTCAGACATGTTACAGCAAGTTAGTACTACTTTATTTTTGTATAAAAAATTGAAATTTTTGGATAGTTTCTTCACAATTTGCATTTACATGAATTGTTTAAAGATCCCTCATACAGATATTCTTTGATATACAATGGTGCTACATTCTGACAAATTCATAAGTTAAAAATATCATAAGGTAAAAATGTATCTAATACATCTAACTTGCAGAACAGCATGTATGAGGCTATCTTACCTTAAACATGCTCAGAAGACCTAGACTAGTCTTCAATTGGACAAAATCATCTAACACAAAGCACCCTTTACAATGAAGTGTTAAATATCTCATGTAATTGAATACCTGTACTCACAATTAGCTGCCAGCATATATTATAAAGAATCAGTTGTTTACCCTGTAATCACATAGCTGATTAGGAGCTGTGGCTCAAAGATGCTGCCAAGAATCATGTAAGGGTCACACACTATACATCACTAGCCTGGAGGAAGATAAAAATTCAAGACTGCAGTATGATGTCTACAGAGTGGCTATCAATTTCACATCAATGTAAAATCAAAAAATGGTTAGTTTAACCATATGTTCAGCATAGCATTTGAGATCATCTCCATATTAAAGAAGAAAAAGGAGGACGAGGAGGAGGAAGAGAAGAAGGAGGAGGAGGAGAAGGAAGAGGAGGAAGAGAAAGTACATTGGGAAGATGAAGCACTCAACTCAAAATAAAAGAAGGATCCCACTTCTACTTTGTGTCCTGGGTTCCTCAGAAATGAGGTAATAGTCTAAGAAAGCAATGCCACAGTGCTGGAATGGATAATGGTTTCACAGTGTACCTGCAGCACAGACATTTTCTTGAGGCTGTTGGGCATTGTTTTGTTCCAAGTCCAGTTTATTCTCTCATGGCAATCTTATTTGTCAGTGGCAGGTTACTCTGATAGTTCTTAAGTGCCTGATGCCCACTAATCAAGTTGTGACTTTGGCTCTGTGATCCCTTTAGCCAACTAAGCAAATGATGCACCAGTTTCTGACTAAAGCAATCAGACAGGATTGCATACACCTGATAGGATCGGCTTCTGTTTCTGTCACGATTTCCACTGTTGTCAGCAACTTGGCAGTCACCACAAACCCCAAACGTTTGTAAATTTTTTTCACAGCTCAGACTGAAAAAGATCAGGGCTTGGAGGAAGCCTCAGTGCAAAAGAAGCAGAGTGTGACCTGAGGGGAACTTACCTGCAGCCGTGGGAGCTCTGAGGAAGTCAGCGAACCTCCAAAGGGGTCAATGGTACTTTTCATGCAGTCTTCAAGAGGTCTCCAGAGTCACCAGCAGTGTCCTTCAGGACCCACGTTGCAAGCCAAAACTAGGAAGAGGCAACAGTAGAACAAATTTAATTTCAAGACTTAATTGGCTTTTATTCATGACCCCAGAATCTGGCAGCATTCAGAACCAGAACAAACTCAAAGAGCTGAGACTACAATGTAGTCTGACAACATTTAGGAAACAAAAAATGGAAGTGACATACTGAGATAGCTTACTTGTAACAGATCCTTGTTTTGCCTTATTTAAATCAGCTGATGCTTGGGATTGGGTGAAGTTCATCTACTATGGTTGACTGAGACTCAGTCACTTGGTTTCAAGAGTGTCCTCCTAAATAAGGCTTTCAGTTAGTGTTGGTAATAAGCCAGTTACAGCTGACTGCATAAGGACTCAAGTACAAAGGTGCTTTTGGTCTAAACGTCCTCATACCTACTGGGTAGCATCAGCTAATGTCTTCAGCAGGATGGTATAAAGATAGATGAAATACGATCTCTGGACTGCAGTTCTTCCTACCTACTAGGGGCTCAGAGGCATGGGCATTTTTTCTTGTTCTTCAGAATTTCTCTGTGGTAAGAGGTAAGCCTACATCTTTTTGTTTAAATGAAAAGCTTTCAAAAAATCACTGGTGACAATTACATTGAAAAAATGCAAGATCCTTCATTTCAGAGGCCCAGTTGTATATTACATAAAAAGTGTTTGAGACCATGAAGCCACAATAAAAAAAAAAAAAAAGGAACAGAAATATATCATTCAACTTTTAAGAAAATATACATAGGCCAAAGCCGCGGCTCAATAGGCTAATCCTCCGCCTGTGGCACCAGCACACCGGGTTCTAGTCCCGGTTGGGGCACCGGATTCTGTCCCGGTTGCCCCTCTTCCAAGCCAGCTCTTTGCTGTGGCCAGGGAGTGCAGTGGAGGATGGCCCAAGTCTTTGGGCCCTGTACCCCATGGGAGACCAGGAGAAGCACCTGGCTCCTGCCTTCGGATCAGCGCAGCGCGCCAGCCATAGCGGCCATTGGAGGGTGAACCAACGGCAAAAGGAAGACCTTTCTCTCTGTCTCTTTCTCTCACTGCCCACTCTGCCTGTCAAAAAAAAAAAAAAAGAAAAAAAAAAGAAAAGAAAATATACATAAGATGACATATGAGCTCAATAGCAAGTCCAGAGTATTAAAGGAATAGAGACTGATTTTGAAAGAGAGAAAATGGCACCTGATTTAGTTTTCTAGGAGCTTGTGGGAAGCCTACTACAGAAAGATGAAGCAGATATTAAAAACTGCTAGATTCAGCAACTGAAAATATTTCAAGTTAACACCAACTAGAGTAAGGATAATACGGGCCACTTCACTGAGCAGGAAAAGGGACAAAAAATTTCTGTATGCAGGAAGCCTTCAAAAATGTAACAAAATCCAGTACAGCAGACTTGGAGGTGCTGTGCTTTTACTTATGTAAAAATAAGTACAAGCAAGGTAAGGGATTTTTAGCTTTAGCAATGCATGAAAGGATTAAATGCCAAACCACAGGAAAGTATCTCAGCTGAACAGAATTGGCTATTGAAATACCTTCTCAGAATAAAGGAACAAAGGTAAAATCTGCCCTTCTGACAAACTACTAATTAGAAATTTAGCATTTCATATTAGTATTGGGGGAGAAGAATTGACATGAATAATAATCCCAGTGGTTATTATTTTCTGCAGAAAGGATACAAGAGGAGCTGACCACCCCTGGGAACCCACTTCCTGGAACAACTGGAAGAGGTTTGAAAGTGGGATGGCAGAAATTAAAACAGCAGCTAAAAGCTGGCAACTGATGAGGGGAAGTATGCACCAGGTTTTAATAATATAGCATTACTCTTGTGAGATTTATAGCATGCTGTTCCACTGTATCAAAACCTTTTGTAGTGGAGTGATCATATAAAAGGATCAATAAAACAACCCTTTAAAACAATAAAGCAAACATGCTCCACATGTTTTAGAGGAAATGAAGACAAAATTAGTTAAGATTTAAGCTTGTTTAGGTCTCTCATGCCAAATTTGATTAGTAAAAATTCAAAACAGAAGTAAACATTATTTTTCTAAAGTAATATTGAGGATTTAAAATCAAAGGAGGGTCCCAGGCAGCATGTCCTAAAGATCTGGTAATTTTCTTGTTAATTTATTTAATGTGGATAGACTCAAAGTACTTTTTAAACTTGTGCTATTATAATTAATTTTCTAAATATTCTCTATGCATTACCAAGCTCCCCCTTTGTGCTGAATAAATATAGCATAAGAAATATGGACAGACTGGCGCCGCGGCTCACTAGGCTAATCCTCCGCCTGTGGCACCAGCACGCCGGGTTCTAGTCCCGGTCGGGGCGCCGGATTCTGTCCCGGTTGCCCCTCTTCCAGGCCAGCTCTCTGCTGTGGCCAGGGTGTGAAGTGGAGGATGGCCCAAGTGCTTGGGCCCTGCACCCCATGGGAGACCAGGAGAAGCACCTGGCTCCTGCCATCGGATCAGCGCGGTGCGACAGCCGCAGCGTGCCGGCCGCGGCGGCCATTGGAGGGTGAACCAACGGCAAAAAGAAGACCTTTTTCTCTGTCTCTCTCTCTCACTGTCAACTCTGCCTGTCAAAAAAATTATAATAATAAAAAAGGTAAGTTTATTTTGGTACAAAAAATTTTGAAATCTGCAAAATAGTTTTTTATTACATGCATTTTCTATGAACTTTTGAACACCCCTTATATGCATGGATTTCACATTTTTTGGCACTGAAATAAGTTTACCTTTTAATACCATTTTCCAAAAGCATTTTGAAGTATTTTTGTATCTTCAATTATTTAAACAGTGATGAATGACAGAAATCACAAATCTAAGTTCTTTACATGTTACCTCATTTGTACCTTACAAAAACATGTAACATAAATTCTATTATAATCCCAATCCTGTGAGAACACAACAGCCCCAATATTTGAGTTGACTTGTCTAAGATCACAGAGCCAGTGACGACATGTCCCTTTTTTGAGCAATTTTTAAAAACTTCCATAGTATGACATATTTTCTCCTAGACTCTTTAATAAGAATCAAAACACAGACAACAATGTAGTGAAGTGACTCTAAAGATAGACTAAGTGAGCCTTTCAAAATTTTTACATCTATTAGTCTCTCTTATGCTTAAAATCCTCAGTCTTTTTTTCTTTAATTTTTTGAGATGTTGAATTATATTTTCAAAGAAATAGTTTTCTTGGGCTACTTTGGACCTTTCTCTGAGAAAAGAATTAATATTTAATGTTTTGGTTTATAATTGGAGTCCCGAATTAACTGAATTATATAACTAAAATTGAGGTTGCAAAATGCCTTGATGTTGAGATTGACCAAATTTCACTTCCATTTCTGACCAATAGCTAGCTCTATACCCCTGAACTGCTCCTACTTGTGTATCTTGCTAATTTTTTCTGAAATAAAATCAGCCTTTAATTTTGAAATCAGGTTTAGGGCTCTGATATCGTCCTTTGTTTCCTGCTGCTATTTCCACTAGTCCCCAGCACCCCCCTACCCACCCAATTAAGAAGTCAGATTCCTTAAAGTTTCCGCTCTTGCACTTGTTCTTGTTTTTGAGTCCTCAGGGACTGATAACAACAAGCCAAAATCTAAGTCTTGCTCTGTAAGGAGCCCTTCTTTGTAAATCAATGATTTCCTCCAACTAGCTCTAAGCATTAACTACAGAAGACTTCCAAATGACCAACTTCATGGTTGCACCCATACTGCAAACAACACAAAAAACACAACAACATCCTGGTAACTCTAAGACACCACCACCCTTCCACTCTTTATAGCTGCCCTCAGGACAATAGTTGCTCCCTGTCTTCCTTGTACACCCATACTTCAAGCCACCAGCCATGTCATGACATGGTCATCTCTCCCAAGGGACTGAACTTAAACAGCACACCTATTTCATTTTTTTTAAAGATTAAATAATTTTTTTAAGTCAGAGTTACAGATAAAGCAGGACAGACAGAGAAAGAGAAAGGAGAGATATCTTCCATCTGCTAGTTCACTCCCTACAAGGCCACAACAATTGGGGTTGGGCAAGGCTGAAGCTAGGAGTCAGGAGCTTCTTCCAGGTTGCCCATATGGGTAACAGGGGCTCAAGCACTTGGATCATCTTCCACTGCTATTCTCAGGCCATTAGCAGAGAACTGGATCAGAAGCAGAGCAGCCAGGACATGAATTAGTGGCCTATGTGATGCTAGCATTGCAGGAGGCAGCTTTACTTGCTCCACACAAATAGGTGTGAACCAAGCACACCTATTTCAAAGACCAGTAGTAGGCCCAGAAACTGACTAATGACACTGTAAGAATGCTACAGCAAGGTAATATGAACTGGGTAACTTATAAACAACAGAAATTTATTTCTTATGATTCTAGAGGCTGGAAAGTCCATGATCAAGACACTAGATCTGGTAAGGGCTCACTTCTTTCTTCATGGACTGAATATTCTATTTGTAGCCTCTGGAAGCAGAGACAGAGAGACAGAGAACTCTTTGAGGGCCCTTTTATAGAGCACTAATCCATTCATGAGGGCTCCACCCTCATGGCATAATTGCCTTCCTAAGGCCTCACCCCCTAACACCAGGGTTAGAATTTCAATGAATTCAGCACATTGTATTACACTCATGGTCTCCCAAGTTCATATCCTTCTCCCATGCAAAAGACACTAATTCCATCCCAACAATCCTCAAGTTCTTAACTCATTTCAGTACCAACTGCAAAGTCTAAAGTCCACATTCTCATCTAAATATTAAAGTTAGATATAGACAACACTAGAGGTATGATTCATTCTGAGGCACAATTCCTTTCCAGCTATGAACCTGTAAAACCAAACAAGTCATGTGCTTCCAAAATGTAACAGTGGGACAATCATAAGGTAGCCACTCCTGTTTCAAAAGGAAGAAATAAAAAGAAGGGGTGACAGGTTCTAAGCAAGTACAAAACCTACCAAGGCAAACTTCATGGGATCTTCAGTCTCAGGAACAGTCATCTTTGGCTCAATGTTTTCCCTTAGACCCACTGAAGTAGCAATGTCACCCCTGCAATTTGGCTGGATGCCTCTCATGCTGTGGTTCTCGGCTCCCATCATGCCGATGCCTTGCTCTCTGTCAAGGAGGAGGGTGCACCCCACCATCCATTGTAAGCTGAGA